GCGCAGCATAAGGAAGAATCAGAAGATTGTCAGCATTTCGATTTTCACTGTCGTTAATTCCAACATGTTGCAAGAAATAACTCTGGATTTTCGATTTACTTGAATTTGGAGACTCTGTGACATTGCTAGACTAGGATTTTATCACTACGGGGTCGAATATACATTAGCAAATAACGTTAAAAAAAATAGTGCCAACAACGATTGTAAAAGTCCGTCGGACTTTTGCAATTTGCTGAAAGTCTTTTGATCTTCACACACACCTTCATAATGTCTACTGTTACTGTTCTCCGTCAAATTTCATCCAACCTCATTACACTCCATCAAATCTGCTCCACCCCCGCTCTTCGCCGATGCCATCATCGAAACTTTGTCACACAACCACACACAGTCACACGCACATAATCACACACACATGCACAAATATTTGATTTTGGTTACACTCACTCTTCTCCGCTGTAACCTAATAAACATGGAAACCAAAACGAAAAAATATGAAGAATTGTTTGGTGATGGTGATTAGGGGTGAAAGTCGGATGGATCGATCGCAATTAGCATTTTCGGAAAATTTTCAAAAAATTTCGAAAGTACAAAACCAATTCCAATTCCAACTCCAAAATTTTCGGAATCTAAAAATTCATTCCAATTCCAAAAGACCCGGAAATTTCGGGATTTCGGAAAAAGATTGGAAATCACATAAGCTCTAAAATTTCAAAACTTGGCGGAAAATTTCATAATTTTCCGAAAATAAAAACATCCACGTCGATAAAAGTAAAACGAATAATTACTAAATTTCAGCTCAAAAAAATAAATAAAAATATACACATCATAATATCCAATAAAACTTCTAACAACAATTCAATATGTCAAAATTCTAAAACAAAACCTAAATCAAATTACTTCCATATTACAAAACAAAAAACTAAAAATAAGTATTATATAACATATATTATTTATAGGTGTTAGAGAATATTATATTATAGAACTCTTGTAATATTAGGATTCTATTATGATTGAGTTACCTAGATTAGTTAGGATTTAGTTACCTAGTTAAACTCTATTACCTTGCAATATTTTTCTATATATATTCCATGTAAATCAACCCATAACACAATGGGGGTTTCTATTACGTATTATTATTTCTCTTCTATTCTATTATTCCTATAATAGGTGTATTTTTCGGAATTAATTTCGAAAATTAAATCGGATCAGAAATCGGAAATTCCAAATTTCTTTTATATAATTCCAATTTTAATTATAAAAAATCGAAAAAAATCAAAAATCGGAATTTCGGAAGTCGGAATGAAAAAAGTTGTTTCAAAATCAGATATTTTCGGATCAAAACCGGTGGAAATTAGAAATTCCGTTCCAACTTGCACCCCTAATGGTTATGGTAATGGCGATGGTGATGTACGCACGTTTTCTAAACTGTTGCTCGTTAATGTGACTATGTTGCTCGTTAATGTAACTAAGGTCTGTAAATAAGTTTTCTAAACTATATATGTCTAAGTTGTGTATGTGTTGTGGGATACATCTATTCTTATTTTAGTTTCTTCTTCAGTTTATTTTCTTCAGTTTATTTTAACTAAGTTGTTGCTTATTAATATGACTAAGTTGTTACTTATTAATATAACTAAGTTGTGCAAATCACCACATCGCCGTTACTGTTATTTTACCTAAGCAATTCCGTTAGAGATACTTCAGACTTAGCATCAGATCGAGAGCGTAAAAGGGCACAAGAACATTTAGCAAAAAGGCACAATCTATATATCCTTATAGGTATAGAGAATATTTTTTAGAGTCTTCTACCTAATTTTCCCATTAATAATTTAATCAAGAATGAAAAGAAGCCTAAAAAGTAAAGGTGCATGATAAAAGAGTACTAAATAAAGTTTCTCCATCCACAAACATGCAAATACACCAAAACAAAGAAATTACATAAAGGAAGATCCCATCATTTTCAAGAACCGTAATATCATGAAATTAATCATCAAAATACCCATCGTCATAGCCACCTAGGTCAGAAACACCTCCTATGTCATTAGCATAGTACATTTCCTCCTCGTATTTTTTAATGGAGTCGACGTCAAGCTTAAGATCTTTAATCCTTTCGGAGCATAATTTTCCGAAATTAACATTGTGACACCGTCTCATATAAAGCGATTTAAGATGGAGACAACCTTCGAGAATTGCCTTGAGGCCCACATTTGTCATTCTATTTCCGAAAATCCGAAGCTCAACGAGTCCAGGCATGTTTTGAGCAATTGCTAGAGCCTCTTCGTCAGATTCGCCACTGCGCCAATCGAAGCTGGTCAATATGAAAAACTTGAGTAATGGGCAACTTCGGCCAACGGTTTCAATAGCTTCAACATCGATATACGTGTGGTTTAGATACAGATTCTCAAGCAGAGGTAGATTTTTAACTGCTTCTTTCACACCTTCACCGGTTATGTCGTAGCAATTTACGAGTGCAAGATGTTTGAGCTGACCGGACCTGTTAAAAATTGTTGTAAACCCATAGGAATTATTGTATTGGAGATATTAATACTCAATGATACATTTCACCTAGTGGAGTTTTAAGGTTAATGGACACCAATTGAGAACCTCATTAAATACTATTGCTTTTAGGGGGAAAAAAATCTTATTTGACTAAAGGGTAAATTACGGCCAACCCCTCAGTTAAGGTCAAGTTACAAAAACTCTCATCCTGTTTGGGTAATTACAGCTACCCATTAAATATGTATTATCTAACAAAAAAACCCTCAAGAGGTAAATTTAGGAATGTTAATTCGGTAAAGCCGAAATTCCGGTACGCCAACATTTCATATCGTTTACCGAATATACGATTTGGTTCGGTAATAAATAACCATAAATTTTATTGAAAATATTTAAAAGATGGGAGTGGCTGTAATTACCCAAACAAGATGGATTTTTTTCATAATTTAACTTTATCTCAGAAGTGGCCGTAATTTATTGAGTAATCGTTGTTTATTGCTTCATTAATTTGTCATTCATAATAGGGTAAAGTTGAAAAGAAAATAAATAAATCATATTTTGAAATTCTAAAATCACACTTGATATAAGAAAAATAATTATGACTAAAGTGACTTTTAAAAAGAAAACTAGCTTAAGTTTTCGGTCAACAACAATGTTAATTATTAAATAGCACTACAAAATATTGGAGAATATCTTTACACGAATGATTTGCACTACAAGAACAAGACAATTTAAGACACCCACTACGAGAAGAAAAACGTTGATCAGTGACATATTTTAAAAGAATAAATTAAAACGGCCCTTTCTGAGATAATTAGGTCTATTGATGAAAAGAAATCCCTCAATTTTCTATAATTACTTAACCCAAAAATTTATAAATTTCTTACAAGAACACTCTTTTATAACCCTTTTATAAGGAGTGAATATAAAAAATCTGAAGGAAGTCTTTTTTTTTATACAATTACAGTTTATTTCAGAAAGGTGGTCGTAATGTACTCTACTCTATTTTGTAATGTATTCTACTCTCTTTTAAAACGCTTGCCTTCAATAATGTCATTTTCTTAGTTAGAACTAACGATAAAATCTCAAACTTCCATAAAAAAATGGAAAGCAATAAACACCAATAATAGATATTACCTTTGAGCTCTGTTACACAGATACGGCTGAAGGGACAAGTTTCCCCGTGTCAGATGCGTTTCTGACACGAAACGCGATGATACGCGTACTATACGCTTGTGGGGCGTATCTGTAATATTTAAATACTTGGACACGGGTATCCAAAATTGACACGCGTGAAAGAAGGAAAAAAAAGGTTTTTTTTCTGAAAAAGCCCAAACCTATTCTACTTCTGTTGTGCCCTACTGCAGTATTATTCTTTTCTCTTTCCAACTATTCTGCCTCTATCTATCTTTCGTTGGAAGAAAACTAATAATATATATACATATATATATATATATATGTAAGTTTTAATATTGTAAAAAAGCACAAAAAAACTTTTTTAATAATTTACAAATAGACCCCTATATTTTTTTATATTTACACGTATCCCCCACGTTCCCGTGTCCTACTTTTTTTAATTAAAGGTTTCCCCGTGTCCGTGTCTGTGTGTCGCCGGTCCCCGTTCCCGTGTCTATGTAACATAGCCTTTGAGAAATATAGAGAAGCAAATCATTGGTACCGGAACCTTTAAGGGTGATGCCAATTAGTTGGCCTTGGCTGAGATCCACCGCACGGCGGCACAAATCATCGAAGTCGTGCGGCCACTCGACGTCCGATTTTTCCATCCTAACGTACCGCCACATGGAAGGTTGCATTGAAACGCTCCGCCACGTCGTACACACTTCCACCGCCGTCGTCAGAATCTCAACCGCACCCAGCTTTAGTAAAATCGCCGCCGTTATCTCTCGCGGCAGTTTCTCCCACGGCGGCGGTGTTGCCTCCTCCTCTATCGAATTGGAAGACGACGACGCCATTGGAGTTTCTTGTGTTTTTTCTTATTTCGAATAATAAAACGGTTGGTTTTGGGAGACTTTTTATAAGCTGTAAATTAGGGCATCAAGTAGTAGTGTACTCTTTAACTTAAGTATAAATGCATGGCGTGGTGCAGAGTAAATATTCTTTTTCATTGGAAGTCGGAAAGACTAAGGTATAATTATCTCTAAATTTTAATATTAATGCATTTCATAAAAATTATGAAATTTAAAAGTACCTATTTCTCACTTTTCTCAAGCGCAAATAATTTATTTTTAAGGGGTTTTTGTGCATAGGTATCTAATCGAGCATCTTTATTATTTTAGCTTTAGAGGCTATATCTCTTTCACCAATAAACCAATCTCTTTAATATTTATTATAAATAAATGAAACATTCATGTATATGTGTAGACACGCAAATGTAATATAGTTTATATTATATTAAATTGAATCCCAAGATTATAATTTATCTTGGAAAATAAGTCATGGAGATAATTATCAATTAATTATTGGCCAATATGATTGTTTCTTCTCTTCCAAGTTATAAGAGATAAATATCAATTTAAAGAGAGCCAATCAAATCGCGCCATGTCATCAAGTAGACTTTAAGTAGGACTCTTATTCTACCACTATAAATAGGGACCCTCCCTACACAATTCAGGACACAACTCAAGAAGAAGAAAAACCGTAGGAGAAAATTCTCTCTACAATATTCAAGTCGTTCTTCATCATCGAGGGCGTTCTTCAACAAATCAAGATCGAAGGAAGATTGAAGGGCCAAATCCATCAAGAACTCCAAGATCTTCAAGTCAAAACCCGTCAAAGTTCAGCGTTCGATCCGAGATTCAAGTCGCAAGACCCTCGGAAGACGTTATTCAAATCCAAATCAGATCAAGTCAACGACCCGACTCCGAAATTCAAAGTCAAACACATATTGTTCTTGAGAGAAGAATCAGAGGATTAAATTAGAGTTTGTAACCCGCAATATTTTATTTTAATTCAATAAATTATTTTTGTGCAAGTTTTTCTTGTTTGTCTAAATCGCAGATAAGAATTTTGTTGCTACAAATTTTGGCACGCCCAGTGGGACATCTCTACCTCTCATCTCTTCTCTCTCGAAGATCCTCGAAGTGTTGCAGTGACTGCTCTACACGTTCACAATGAAGACTGCTACTTCGGATTCATCAAGTGTGGGCTTAGTTACAAGGAGTATGGCTAAGAAGCTGAAAGCATCCTCTAAGACTAGCTCGACGCCCCAAACCGTTCAAAAAGGCTTACCACCTCCTGTCAACACAAGCGTAGACGTGGAAGGCTCAAAACGAGAGATTTCACAGCCCATGCCTCATTCAACATCAAGCTACTCAGAGATGGCATCCGTCATGACAACAAACGCTACAACTATGGAAGAAGCATCCTCCAAGACTAGCTCGACGCCCCGAACCGTTCAGAAAGGCTTACCACCTCTTGTCAACACAAGCGCAGACGTGGAAGGCTCAAAACGAGAGATTTCACAGCCCATGCCTCATTCAACATCAAGCTACTCAGAGATGGCATCCGTCATGACAACAAACGCTACAACTATGGAAGAAGCATCCTCCAAGACTAGCTCGACGCCCCGAACCGTTCAGAA